TTAAAGGTATTCTTGGAAAACGTTATAAGAGATGCAGTCACATACACCGAACACGCCAAGCGCAAGACAGTCACCGCTATGGATGTCGTCTACGCTTTGAAACGTCAAGGCCGTACTTTGTACGGTTTCGGAGGTTAAATTCAACCTTATCCCGATCAATACAGAAAAAACATCAAAAAAATCGGCCCTTTTCAGGGCCACCAAAAACATATTTATCAAAGAATTTTTTAAATCAATCAAAACATTTTCGCTTTCAATTTAAAACATGGTGGAAATATATAAAAATTGCAGCTAAATATATTAATCTAATGGTGAAATAATTGAAGCAGAAAACCGAAGAGAGTACGCTACTTCAGTCATATTTGTGATGACTCATTAATTATACGAGAGAGGTTATTTACATGGTTGAAATCAATTTATGGCAAAACAATTTCTAATAACGAAAAAAGTTCTGTTTGTTGTCAAGAGAATGTCGATGATTACGGTAAATAATGTTGCATTTATTCATATGCCATACTTTCCATATTTATCCTGAAGTCATAAATTATTAGTAAATTCAAACCAAACAAAAAATTGCATCAAAGACACCATTGAGTTTTTTTCAGATGAAATAAGTTACGTTTGTGTGCGATATACGCATTTTTCTTAATTGGCGTGAAGTTGGTTGTCGACTGTAATGTTGCTTTGACATTTGTCGCTACTTGAGTTTGTGTTGTCCAATAATTCCACAGAGATCGATTCAAATTTACATTTTATTCTGCATGAAATCACTAGTTAAATTTATTTTGATTGCTCAAATATTTTTTTATTTCTTCTTGAATTTAAATCAAGCATAATTTTAATGGAACTAATTTCGATTATTTCAATTTGATACTTGATATTGAATTAACGAACTTTTTTCAAATGCCTATTCATCAGTAAATTTGTTTGTATTCATTCGTAAACTAGCACTTCTTCTTTAAGGGTAAGCAGTAGCAAATAAATGGAAATAAATGTCAAGCAGCCAGCTACTATGCCAGACACAACGCCGGGCCAACGACGAAAAATGATCATGATGAAAATAATTGTAGACAGTACTAACATTACTCCAAATGGCACCATGGCACTCATATGTAAGCGACGATGTTGAAAACGTTGATTGAATCTAGGAAAACTGTGAAAAATTCATAAATGTTGGGTACAAAAGTAAAAAAGTACTGTAAATGAAAAATGTTCTGAAGTTACTTGACTGGCAGTTCTTCTTCTGGATCTTCTGGCCAAATGAAATTAGCTCGATGTATATCAAAATTTGTTATTTTTTCCGTCATCGGCGCCGATTCATTTTGTATTGAGACGTTGATTGACTGTCGTACGGCTGAGTTGATGACCGAATTAACTGCTGGTCTCATTATTGTGTATGCATTAAAACTACTTTGAAAATCATATGTTCCTAATATTGAATATATAAAATGGATTCAACTTTGAATCTCATCGAATTATTTATTCTCTTACTTTTAC